GGGTTTCGGGAGTTTGGGGTTTAGGGCTCAAAGATGTTGATGACCTCCGCCGTGCTTTGGGGTTGATGGGTCATAATGTCATACGCTCACACGGACTCCGATTATGCAGCTGCAGCCTCGTCTTAGTGTAAACGACTAAGAACGTGTGCATATGTGTTTGGGGTGTCGGTTTCGCCCGGCAGGCTCGGCGCGAGAAAAGTAAGTGTGTTTCCGTTGTCTTCGAAGGGAGTTGGTCATGAAGGGTATTGGCGATTACAGTAAGTTGGTGTCACTCTGCAGGTCAGTTTAAGGTTTTTCATTTTTGTAGTGCTCCGGCTTACAGGGTTTGGCCAGCTTGAGGTTTAGAGACTCATTGGGTTTAGGGTTTAGTCCAAGTCAGGCTCTGTTATCCGGGGTGTGGCTCAGGTTTTCGTGTGCAGGTTGGGGGCCTGCAGGGTAGGATCAGGATTCCCAGCGTATCCTTCTGGGTATGTGTAAACTTTTTGGGCAGACGCTCGGATACTCGGAATGCTATGTTCTGTGATCTTCGGTCTACTGATGTTCCCTGCTGCGATATTTCATCGCGCAACTTGCTCTGACTGGTGTGATACATATAATCATGTCATCTGTTGGCGCAGTTGAGATGTTACATCAGCGTCGATGACGGGAAAGCACATGGCACATAGCGCATGCAAGCTGTTGTCGTACACCTTGTACGGCATATTCGTCTGAAGTTGCATGTTTGCGTACTCTGGTTTGATATGGCACGCAGAGTATAGAGGCCTCTGTCATCTACTTTTCAATGCAGGCCGTGTATGGAGCACATTCGCCAACATCTGTCGAACACTTCCGACATATCTTGGCGAGAACGGTTTCCTCTTACTGAAGCAAGGCTTTACGGCATATGTTGCAGTAAAGTAAGCATCATCATGGTGCATATCGCGCAGAAACCATTGCGTTGCAAAGGGAACGACCAGAAGCCAATGTACGTTTCCCAAAACTCCGCCTTTGTGCTAGACTCTAAACCCTAAACCCTA